CACCCCCTTTATTAATGCTATGGTCACATTATATCAGCATTATCATTATGACTTCTGCTGCTTTCAGGCATGCATGCCCAGTCATGCATCAGCAGGACGGCTGCAAGAGGACAGCAGCAAGAGAGCTTCACGGCGACAGCAACAGTGTTTAGGGTTCCAGGTTCAGGATCAACAGCATCAAAGGTGTCAGGGGGGCAACTATACTGGAATCAGCGTGAGCGTGAAGTTGAAGCGTTGTTACCGGGCATGCTGCAACACATGGTCATATGGCAAACAAAAAGGTTTCCTGTTATAGTAGTACTTAGCTTTAAGTTCCTTACCAGCAGTCCTCTCTGTGCCGGAACCAAGCCAAATCCATGTGCCTAATCACTGACTTCCCCTGATCCTCTCCCAACCCTTTCCCCCGATGATCGAAATTCTGGGCTGGCCGCTGATGAGAGATGACCGAGACATCCAAACACGAGGAAGGTGTTGCCCGCTCGCTTTCCTGCTGCGGCCGCAAAAAATTAGTTGCTTTCTCAGCACCTAAGGTGATGACTTTTCACTATAGTATATGCACACACCGTAATAGGCAAATTATCGACCGTCGAGAGTTCTTGCTCCGTTAACCATCGTGTAGGGCAAGGAAGGCCCTGCTGGCTGGTCTGCATTGTCGACTCGGATCTATTGGACCACTGTAGCTGGCGGCGTCATTTTGGCCATTAGTTGGCTGCTCTGCAGCCTCCATGATGGATGCGAAGGGCTTTTCACCTCTCCCTGTTTTCAGGAAGAATTTCGCAGTTTCCTACTAAGTTAAGGACTTCTCCCTCCTTGCGTGGCACGCAGCAGAAGCCCTTCTGCCGTAAATGCTGCCACTTGGGAACATAACAGGTGCCTATGAGACAGAACGGCACTGACGTCAACAAGTGCAAGACACGCGTGCGCCCCAGTCTCTTGGTTTTCGGGGTTTTAGTAGACTTACTTTTATGGGTAAAGGATACATATAAAGCCATGAAATCCTTTTCTGTGTTACAACACATATAACATATAGCACAACCCACAACACATGACAGAACACATCACTCTTTCATCCAACAACGCTTATGAACTTGCTAGATGTTGGCACGGTTTTTGCACATGTAAATCTCTCCTATTATCCTCCGAATGATAATAGTTTTTGCCTAAGTTCTTGTCTGTTCGTTAACTGCGTGGGGATTTTTTAGACAGTGGCTGGCGCATTCTTTTTCACTGATGCTTTTTTGCACGCATTATTCTAACACTACGTAGCGCTAGCCTCAAAAGTTACTCATCTCACCAACTGAGGTGGACAAACCTGGTCATACAAAGATGCAGCATGGAGCCACTTCACAACTCAGGCAGCCCGTTGCGGTAAACCTCAAAGCCGAAAGGGACGCATGTAGCAGTTGCTTAACAGTGATTTGGGTCTATATTGGGCCTCCCATTTCGGAGCCCACCAGAGGTGACACGTGTCGCGCTAGGTTTCCATAACGTAGGGGTCCCCACAAGAAGGATTATAGCAGTTTGGGGTTTATATCGGGTCCCCGTATTTGGGGAAACTACCAGAGGTGACGCAAACCCTAAACGCTAAACCTTTCTTGACCCTATACTAAGTAATCCTAAATCCTAAACCCTAAAACCCTATGCTGCGAAACTCTAAACCCTAAACCCTAAACCCCTAAACCATAAATCCTAAAATCCTAAACCCTAAAACCCTAAAACCCTAAACCCCCATGTCCCTGGAGGTTTCCAACCCCATCAAGAAGTTTGGCTTCCTCGGCACGGGGAAGGTGGCGTGGAGCCCTAGCGACGGTCCACCAATCAACCTTTCAGCAGGAGGCTGACAATGAATATGGATCATAGTACTGGTTTAGGGTTTAGGGTTTAGGGGGTTATATTGGGATAATGGAAAAGAAAATGGAAACTACTATAGTATGATAGGGTTTATATTCATAGCAGGAACAGGAATAATGGTAATAGTGGTAATACTATTCATAATAATCGTAGTAACAATGGTAATAATAGCAGGAATAGGTTGTTTTTTTAGCATCGCAGTGATGAAGTTAGTAGTTGCCGCAGAAATGATGCTAGCAGCAGGCAGATGACATCCCTAAGCCCATGTACTCCATAGTCTGAAGTCCTAGTTTAGGAGTAGTATTTGATTTGGTGATACTATGGTACCCAATATAGAGTAAGATTATATCCTCCCTTTGGGGTATGGTATGGTATAGTATATAAGGAACGTAATCTTACTGGGTTTAACCACCAAAAAAAGGCTACTCTAGTGTCCCCCGGATGCAGTCCTACTCAGCCACCAAGCAGATGCTGACAACCAAGGCAGCTGCTTGGGTCACCAAAACAACCCTTTCAGGTCACCAAAAGAAGCTTCCCAGGTCATCAAAACCATGACAGCTGTGAGAGCGTCATCTACTCCAACATTGGGCCTCTAAATTTATGTGACCTTATCACGTGGGACCGCAACATGCGCCGAACCCAGCAAGGCCATTACCAGCATGGCCAGCACTCCTATGGCGCCCACGCGTGGATGCTACAAGCGTGGCCAGCGCTACGCCGCCCATCAGGCCTTCGCTTCGAATCGGGGCTTCAGGCAGAGGATAGGTCTGGGGGCTTCCCATGCAGCAAACACGGCCTGCAGCTGGATTTCCCATCAAACTTCAATGTCTGCGGGTAAGTTTCCTGTTTGCTCAACCCACCAAATCAAGGAAGCCATGATGATTGTGAAATAGCCCTGAAAGCTACACCTGAAACACCTCTGATAAAATCCAGGTACATGATTCCCCGTACCCTTGACCCTAAACTCCCAAGCCATAAACCCTACGGTCTTACATCGTAAACCCTAAATCTTAGGTTCTGAAGCCTTAAAACGGTAAACCTCTACTCCCTAAACGCTGAATCCTCTTTGCGTAGCATCTCTGCAGGGTGGATGGCCCCACTTTGGAGGAACTTATGGAGGCACTTTCCATGGTTTTGATTTCGAGGTGTTGGGTTCGCAATGGGGTCAGATGGGGGTCGCCCTCAGGTCAGATCAGATCAGACTAGGTCCGGTGGCTTTGGGGTGGGGGTGTTGGGGGTAGCTAAGAGAAGAAAGTGCTTGTGGTGACCGGAGGGGTGCGTTTGGTGGCCTGCCGCACGTTGTTTGGTGACGTGATTTTTCTTAGGTTTGGTGTGCTGCTAGTGTTCTTGGTGCTTTTGTGCGTCGTTTGGTGCTTGAGATGATGCTTTTGGGGGCCCGGAAAGGTTGTTTGGCAGCCTGAAATGTTCTTTTGGTGGCCGAGAACTTTTTCTAGCCAGTCTCCCCCCTTCATAACCTCTATAAAGGGTTGGGTTTAGGGTTTAGGGTAGTCCCCTACATAATGCCCTACATAGCCATTTTAAGGAGTTCGGATAGTAAATCATGTAGTTGGCTTGCAAGGCAATGGAGAAGTTGAGAACGGAGGTCCCGGATCGTGCTGCTGGCAAGCTTTTTGGCTCACTGCGGGGGCATGTTGTCCTTGGTACACTTACTGTAGCGAATCAAGAAATTATATGATACACGCAGTCTATAGGGATTGTATTCCTTTATTCCCTATTAACCCCCCAGTAAGTAAAAAAGGGGCCCAACTCTGCTCAACTTCAACTAGTCCTGCGACAGCTAGCTTGACGTTAGTGAGTGATGACACTTGACTCAATGACGTAGGCTAGACAAATGGACATGGTGAGAAGAGTGCCATCATACAATGTAAGCCTTACTATCATACCATGATTCTCACAGGTTCCTTCTTGAAGGGTTGGGGGTACAAAGTCCTCTTATTTGGGTGCTCGGTTGACATAAACACTAAACTCTTAGACCTTAAGCCCTCATCCCTGAATCCTAAACAAGAAACCTAAACCCTTGCCGGGCTTATGGTACAGGCATCCTTGTCTGGCAGACGAGGGTGGAGCGCGCGGCTGATGTGCAGTCGCAGGCTCAGAAATGGAGACATGGTCCCTCCTAAGTAGGTAGAATATGGGGTTTAGGGTTAGACAGGGGTCGAGGGTCCAGGGTTGAGGGTTTAGGGCGCAGGCAGTGAGGAGATAGGATGTGGGGTATATGGGGATCATACTATGGTGTTGGGGAATTTCTTAATTCATGTATTCAAGGGGACTGATTTTTTGCTGGCTCTTGCTGTAGTATAGGGAGTGGAATTAAATGGAGCAGAACATCGAAAAGGGGGATGATATGGTGGTTTGTAGTGTCTTTGTCGCTGATTATTGGCAATTCTAGTGAGTAGGAGAGTGGAAACTACGTTTATATTCTTGGGCGCGCTGCCTAAACTCCAAGCCTTAAATCCCAATGCCAAACCCTAGGCCTTAAACTAAATTTTCACCTCTACCTCAACTCTAAACCCTTAGTGTTTACACGCTTTTGGCTATCAGGCCCTCAATTTCAATCCATTTGGACCACATCAGGTCATGAGGGAATGGACTATAGGGCTTATTATTTGGGATTATATGGGGCTTAGGGTTTAGGGATTAGGAATTGTTATTAGGGATTACATAGGGACGACTACGGGGATCCATTCCCCCATTCCCCCCTAAGCACCAGGGAGATAATGGCTCCGAGGTTTCCGGCGTTGACGGTTCGACTCCGCCAGTGCCTTAGGAAGAAAGAGTGGCCGGCAGACCCTAAACCGTAAACGCTTAAACCCTGGAAAAACAACTAAAACTCTCAAACCCGGCAGGTACAGCGAGCAAGCTTGGCTAAAAGCATCACGCAATAAAAGCATCATGCAATTTTGTGTGCCGCGTCCGCGGAAGGTGGGACACAATTTGACACCTACGTCGAAGGTGGGACCGTGCTCCACAACTACGCCCATGTGTGGCAGCCTGATGCGAGCCTTGCGAAATGTACTTCCTCCACACTAAACCCTAAATCGCGTGCATTGAACATGCCCCGCCCAGGTTCGACTTGATCATGAGGCTCAGGCAGGCAGTCGGGCTCCCAGCTACTACGACCTGAGCGGAGGCCAAACATCAGAAGCTTAGGTGGACCACCCCTACCTGATTGTTCACGGCTCCCTAAAAGGGACAGTTCGGGCCTTACTTGTTCAGACATCCTTTTCTCAGAAGAAGAGTGGGCATTTGCATCTACTGAACACGGAGGGTATACCTTGAGGATGAAAGAAATGGGTTTGGGGCCTACTTAGGTTCCCTAAGCCCTCAATCCTAATACTCTCCAGCTTCCAGAGGATGGCAACACGGGGGTGATCCCTAGCAAGAGCAAGAGCCACGGCGTTCGCCTCAGAAATGGCGCGCTTGTTGGATGATGTTCATCACTATTCTCCGCCTTCACCCTATGCACATGCATATTATGCATGTATATATAAATATACACGCATTTTCCTGGTAGCATCATATATATATATATACATATGTGCGTGTGTATATCTATTTGTATTTATCATGATGGTGTACGATGATTTTGTGGTATCTTGCCGTGATCTAGCATGAGAATCGTTACTGTGGCCTTGTACTTTGGCAGAAGGAGAGCCCAAACCCTGAACCCTATAAATCCTAAACCCTATAAATCCTAAAGCTCTCCAAGCGGTTTTATGCAGCGTCAAGGTAGCTCGGAGGCTTGCACGCTGTGCCAGGATGACATCGAGGATGAGGGTTTAGGGTTTAGAGGTTTTAGGGTGCTTAGGGTTAAGAGGATTTAGAGGGTCCAGGGGTTTAGGGTTTAGAGGGTTTAGGGCTTATAGGTCTTAGGATCTAGAGTTCAGGGTTTGCAGTTTCATGGGGCCAGAGAGAAGTGGGTGAAGGTACCGAGGGGCCCAAGGAAATTGCTAATCTGATTTTGGCACTTGTTTGAGAGACCCCTTTTTTTGAATAGTATAGTCATCCAAGAAATGTTGAATCATGATTTTGGCGGCTGTTACATTAGGCAGGTACTGCACACACTATGGCCGCACGCCTCATGGGAATCCTTATCCCACCCAGATCCCTAAACCCTAAACCCTAACACCCAGCTCTTCACAAGCGGTAGGAGCGGCGTCATCAAAGCAAGGGCCTACTGTGTGCACGCCTTTTACCGAGAATGTCTGCAAGAGCAGCGGCCTAAGCTGAAAGATGTAAACTCGGGACTTGGAGGACTGGGTTGGGGTTTGGGGTTTAGGGCTTAGAGTTTGTGAGGAGCGGTTCTCGGGCAGGGTTTTTTTTCTGGAATTCTATGGCGACAACTATAGGGCTCGATTCTATCACAAGGCACCAGGAATCTGGGCATGTGAGGCATATGAGCAGCGGCCAAACCCCTATGACCCTATGAAGGAGTTTTATAAGAGGGTTCTCATATCGATGCTGGATGTTGCAAATTGGTGCGCGCGTCACCATTTTGCAGGCACATGGTCTGCGATAGCTTGCCATCGCGGCTTGGTAAGAAGCCTCTGCGCGAAGCTAGCAAGGCGCGCGCGTCAGTAAAACTTACGCTTTTTATTCATATCTCATTCGCGATAGCTCGCGTCACTGCAAAAGAACGGCAAGAGCCCGCGATGTGCTGGCGCTGGGATCGCGTCAGCAAAGCACATGGTTCCGCGATAGTGATTGATACGAGAACAGAAGGCTCAAAGGGTTTTGGCCACGGCTCATATGAGCTATAGTCTAAATCCTCAAAGGGGGTTATATAAGGGAGCAGTAGAGGCGTCATTAAGGCGATACTAGGAGTTTAGACTATGGCTCATGTGGAAATTTTCTATGTGCATCAAGGCTTCAAAATGCAAACCCTAAACCTTAAGCCCTACAAGCCCTTTAACTAACCTCTTGGAGGCTCAAGGCCTCAAAATGCAAACCCTAAACCCTAAATCCTACAAGCCCTTTAACCTCTTGGAGGCTCCCAGTTCAGCTGCTGAGGTTTCTCGAACAGGCACCGCAGCTTCCAAGTGACAGGGTCGGATGCGCCTGGGACGAGCTAGAAGCAGATTACTGGGCTACTGTAGGGTTTGGATGATAGGCTTGAAAAAGTATAGTCCCCCTTAAATAGATAGAATATGGCATTGGGTATATTATAAGATCCCAATACCCCCCATATTCTATCTACTGAGGGGGACTATAGGGTCTTTGCCGGCATCAGTTGGTATTGAAACTCTCTGCCATTACTCTTAGGTGCGGCATGGCTTTCCACAGTAGAATTACAGAACTTGGGCCGGCAGGGGATCCCATACAGGTATTTCAGATTGAAGATTTCTAATCCTTAAGCTCTGTGTAGTCTGAGTCCTAAACCTTAAGCCTCGCATGTAGAGTTCATGGTGGTCGGGGTCATGCGCTTGACGGCATCCGGACCAGAAACACAGAAAAAAGCTGCCACGGACAAACAGGTACATTCTTTTTGGAGTACCTGGACCCTAGAAACCCTAAATCCTAAATCCGAAACCCTTAAACCCTTAAACCTATTAAACCCCCAATCCAAAACCCTAAACCCTCCATCCTCCAAGGCCCAACCTGCTTCGCGCCAATGACCTGGGCGGAGGGTCAGGTGCGCAAGTGGTTTCAGAGTTAGGGTTTACTGCTTAAAGAGGGTTTAGGGCTGAGGGTTGAGGGTTTAGTTGGGTTTTAGGGCTTAGGATTTGGGGTACAGCTTCTAAGCCTGGCTTATGATTGTGAGAAGCGCCCGCAGTGTCGATGGGCTGAGGGCTGAGGGCTGTTGCAGCCGGCTACCTCGGAATCCAGATGCCTAGGGGTGGATTCTTCAATGGACTACAATGCCATACTTCATAGCTCCATAAAGCTAGGCCTTGTCTGGAGAATTTTCCGCAGCATCTTGAGCAAGCTCGCATGCCAGGAAGAGATAAACCAGGATGAGGCGGCGGCCAGTAACCGGGTTGCTGTTTTGGAACTTGAATCAAATTCCTACAACAAGGAAACCGCATTATGTAATAGATACCCATATTATGGTAACTCAATTTAAGTTCCTTAACAGCAACCCCGTGAAGTGGGGATTAGGGGAGGCACAGGCTTCCTTAAGGGCCCATGTCCAACCAAATATCAACCGCAGACTGGCCAGGAACAGAACCGACCAGCCAAGCAGGCAGATGATGCAACAGGGCTCTCAGAATTGACCGAGCTTTGGCGCTTAGGGCCAGGCGAAACAATCTGGGCCCCTTTTTCAGCTGGCGCCAGGCGCAGATCACAAACAGACAGACGCTGGCAGCGACGGAGGCGGGAGCACAACCACTTTTGCAGGATGAATAATGCCCAAGTCTCTGGCCAGGAGCAGCGTGATGTCTACCGATCCGCCCTCGAGGCCACTTCCATGCATGACTGCCACGTCCAGTCAAAGGACACCCAATTTTCCGACGTGCTTGTCCCAGGCGCAGCGCTGCCATTCGCGCTGGCTGCCATGGGTGAACCACCCCTTGTCCCGTTTCCATGCACCTCTTTTTGTTTCGGAGGCCACCAAGATGAGTGCGCAATGACCCAAGCAACGGCGGTCCTCGCTCGGCATGACGGCTGATAGTAAATGCCCACATACGTTCACTGAGGGTGCTCTGGCCGCTGCTCGAGCTTGAGACATCGCCGTGGGGGCACTCTTATCTGTCGGAGGCGGCGGGGCGAAACTTTTGCGCCGTGCTCGTGACAAGTCTAGTTTCATGGTTCATGCATGCTTGCCAGGGCTGCGGCCGCGCGTGCTGGTCCAGGTCTGCCGAGGCTCCGACTTTCCTTGCAAGAGCGTTTACTTTGAGATATCCAGATGGCACGCTTCAAGCGTAGTTTTTGCATCAATATTCTGCGAATGCCTGATGTTTTGCATTTGGACACGTCCGTCTGCAAAACTAGTTTGCAGGTGTTAGGCTATTTTTTTTGCACGTCATGACAGCGCCGTGCCAGGGCGAAAGGAAAGCCAGGCTGCTGCGTTGCTCCAGTTTGTCTTGCAGCGAAAAGCCTTTCAGACGGAGCCCACGTTGAAGGTTTTTCTCATCTCCTGACAAGCGGGTGGCCAGGCACTCAGAAAGAGCACAAGAAGCTCTACACAGACTCCCTGCATTTGGCATACGGGATCATACGGGTATTTCTCCGAATATTCCATTTAGTCCCGAATCCCTGTGGCTCCGAAGACCCCCCCCCAGTTTGAGAAACTTCCATATGCCTTTTGGGGTTCCCTTGATTTGGGAAAACCGCACATCCTGAGCCCTAAGCTGGTTCCTGCTATGAGGAGAAGGGCTGAAGCTTCAAGCGGCGGACCGCATTTTCCTGATGGATCCCTGGCCTCCTTGGCATGTCCTTCGCGCTGTCTGTTTATGGCTTTAACTTCTGGGCTTCAGGGTACTCAGCAAGTAACCACAATAATCACCCACGCGACATCATAAATGGATCCCCGTAGTACTCCCTATATGTCCCCACAAACTGGTAACTAGTAATTAGCCTCCATACTCTTTTCCATGCCCTCGTTCCTTGCTACCTAGAGATTGGATACTACCCCCACACAGTGAAAGCTGGAGAACAATTTTCACATGATTAAAGATTGGCCTTGATATTGCCGCAATTCTTGATTGTTGCCGGGTTGCGGCAGTGCCCAACCTAAGCCCTAAAGACCCTAGAACCCCAAAACCCTAGAACCCTAAAACCCTAAAACCTAAAACCGTTAACCCTAAACCCTTAAACCCTGGACCCTGAGTGAAAATTTGGCACCTTACCAGCTGGCCTGCTTTGCGCCTCCATCTATGTTAGTCTTAAGCGTTTGCTTGCAAGTTTGACTTGCTGGGGGTTACTAGGGAATAAGGGAAAACAATCCCTAATAATAAGGGAATGTATTGGTTGGGGATTACATAGGGATTATACTCCCTCCGTCCCTACTAAGCACCAGTTGGAGGCACCCGCGGCTTCACGATGTCTTTGCAACAGGCTTGTGGTAGGGACCCGGGGCCGAGGGGTTTGGGGTTTAGGGTTCAAGATGTAGAGTTTCGCTGGGCACGTACATTGTCCGAAAGAATGTGAGGAAGATGCAGCTTTCCGCAGCCCGTGAGTCTGTACGAACTCCCTGTTTCCTTGGAAGCCCTAAGCCACTAAACCCTAAAACCCTAAACCTACTGTGAGGCGCGCATCGCAACGGCAAACGCGGCCCATGAAGGCGACCCGCTTCGCAGCGGCCCCTCGCTCAGTAGAAGCCCAGATGAGCCAAAGTCTAAACTCCTTAAAGGGGGTTATGTAGGGTTTAGGGTCTAAATTCCTTAAAGTGGATTATATAGGAGAGTTCAGGGGAATATTAGAGGGCTAGTGAGGGGGATGCTAGGAGTTTAGACAATGGCTCAGATGTTTTCCACTTGCATTGATAGTACTCTTATTATTGTTAATGCGACTACTATGAGTAAGACATATCCAATGAAATTACTGCGATTTTACCATTTCCGCAATAGTGGAGAAGAAATGGAAATGAAATGGAAACTCGGATTGCAGCATGATCATAATGGCTGATAGTCATTAGGGGTATTACTGTTGTTGCTATTATCCGTATTCCTGTCGTTACGATTGTTGTTAGCGTTATCATAATCATAATCATAATCATCATCATCATCGTCATCGTCATTACGATCATCATCATCATTTTTATTACTATTACTGCTACATATATACATGTGTGTGTGTGTACGTATGCGTGTCATAGATTTGTACATGTGTAGGTGTTGCACTTAACCGGCAGCATGTTTTGTCAGAACGGGAGATCACACACGCACGAGGTGCTCCATGAAGTAGGTCAGGAAAAGCCCAAGTTACAAGCCGGATAGTATCCTATCGTCGCCTAGTCCCCTATGATAGGCCTGGTACAGGGAACGCTAGTGCTTCGCAATATCTTAAACCCTAAATTACTTGGCCTGAGGCCAACACAACGCGGAAAAGATCATTGAGTTGCAGGAGAAGAAGCAGACGGTTTTCGAT